CTAGGATCTAATTTTTTCCCCTTGCAAATTATTCTATTTGCACAATAGATTCTATTAAGTGATTTAATGATTGGAAACCGTTTATTATCTCTTGATGTCTTATTTGTGCACGTTTACGAAAAAAGAATTAGTAATAATTTCAACGTAGAAAAAAATTATAGCAATGGATTTTGTTTATCATACTATAGTTGTTCTTTTATGAATTTATGCAACGAAAATCAAAATTATAATCGGACATAATCTTGCATAATCTGATAGTTTTTCACTAGATTGGTACACCTATAACTAGATTAGTTTTTATATTAATCGAACTCATTTCAAAATTCAAACAAAAACGCATATTGGATTCGATGATCCTACTGCATATTTGTTCATATTTATGCCTCATACAATTAAGTCATCTAATAACATAGAAACGAAATATAAAAAATAGTCATATTAGATATCAGTAATATTAGGTGTTTATCAACAAAAAAAAAAGATCATCGACTTTTCTTTCCCAGGTTTGAGTCTTCCTTCACTAATTAAAATGAATGTCAAAAACTAAATAACGTTTAGCATTTATATTTATTACATATAAATGCATATAAAATACGCTGAACTAATTAGATCGATTTTATGTAAAAATTTCTTTCTCTTGTGTTTAGATAAAAAGTAAGTTGGATTACAATCAAGTCTATTAAGATTGTCATCTATATTCTTTCAACACATGGTATGAAATCTGATTTGTTTTAGCACTTATTCTTCAGCATGTTTCCAGTTCATTCGATAGAGAATCGAATTCTCTACTCAGCACAAGCCACCCCAGAGAGAGCACAATGTCAGGGATTGAAATACACCCTCCGGTTTTGTTGGAAGGGGCGATTGGGGTAGGTATCAGTCCATTAACTCCCGTTCCTTCCTTTGGATTTATTTGAAAATACCACCATTCGATAGAGAATCGAATTCCACACTCAGCAAAAACCATCAGAGAGAGAGCACAATGTCAGGGATTGAGATACGCGGTCAGTTTTCATTGGAACGGTCGATTGGGGTAGGTATCTGCCCATTAACTCCCGTTCCTGACGTTGGATCTCTTTGAAAATACCACCATTCGATAGAGAATCGAATTCCACACTCCGCACAAGCCATCCCAAGGAGAGCACTATGTCAGGGATTGAGATACCCGGTCAGTTTTCACTTGTAGGGTCGATTGGGGTAGGTATCAGCCCATTAACTCCCGTTTCTTTCGTTAGATCTCTTTGAAAATACCACCATTCGATAGAGAATCGAATTCCACACTCAGCACAAGCCATGCGAGAGAAAGCACAATGTCAGGGATTGAGATACGCGGTCAGTTTTGATTCGAAGGGTGGATTGCGGTAGGTGTCAGCCCATTTACTCCCGTTCCTTCCGTTGCATCTCTTTGAAAATACCACCATTAGATAGGGAATCGAATTGTGCACTCAGCACAAGCCATCCGAAAGACAGCAGAATGTCAGGGATTGACATTTGCGGTCAGTTTTCGCTGGAAGGGTCGATTGGGGTAGGTATCAGCCCATTAACTCCCGTTCCTTGCGTTAGATCTCTTTAAAAATACCACCATTCCAAAGAGAATGCAATTCTACACTCAGCACAAGGTATCCGAGGGAGAGCACAATGTCTGGGCTTGAGAGAGAGGGTGAGGTTTGTGTTAAAAGTCCATTGGGCTCGGTATTAGCGCATTAACTCCCGTTGCTTCCTTTGGTTTTACTTGAAAATACCACCATTCGATAGAGAATCGAATTCTATGCTCAGCACAATGTACCCGAGAGAGAGCACAACATCAGCGATTGAGATACAGGGTCAGGTTTTGATGGAAGGGTCCATTGGTGTAGGTATCAGCCCATTAACTCCCGTGTCTTCGTGTGGTTTTAGTTGAAAATACCACCATTCGATAGCGAATTGAATGCTACACTGAGCACAAGGTATCCGAGTGAGAGCACAGCGTCTGGGAATGAGACAGAGGGTCAGGTTTGTGTTAAATGTAGATTGGGGTAGGTATCAGTCCATTAACACCCGTTCCTTTTTTTGGTTTTACTTGAAAATACCATCATTCGATAGAGAATTAAATTTTGCATCCAGCACAACCAACTATGGAGACGGCACAGGTGGATTTTCGAATCCGGGCAGGAGATAATGTAAAAAAATGGTTTTTGGGATGGTATTTTGCCGGAAACCCCAGCTTTTTGGACGACGAGGCTATCAGAAACTTGTACCATTGGATAGAGAGCAAAATTCTGCATCTATCACAAGCGAAGAGGGGAACAGCACAGGTGTAGGCGCGAATCGGGGCAGGAATTACTTGTTTTCCGAATTCGTCACATAGAGCGGAAGTTAGTTTTTTGGTGGTAGACCCTATTTTGGGGTCGACGACCTTGGTCGAAGTTGTCACCATCCGATAGAGAATTAAATTCTGCATCCAGCACAACCAACTATGGAAACAGCACAGGTGGATTTTCGAATCCGGGCAGGTGATAATGTTAAAAAGTGGGTTTTGGGACGGTATTTGGCCAGAAACCCCAACTTTTTGGTCGATGAGGCTATCGAAAACTTATACCATTGGATAGAGCGTAAAATTCTGCATCTAGCACAAGCGAAGAGGGGAACAGCACAGGTGTATGCGCGAATCGGGACAGGAATTACATGTTTTCCGAATTCGTCACATAGAGCGATAGTCAGTTTTTTGGTGGTAGACGCTATTTTATGGTCGACGACCTTGGTCGAAGTTGTTACCATTCGATAGAGAATTAAATTCTGCATTCAGCACAATCGAGTAGGAAGACAGCACAGACGCAGGGGCGAATAAAGACAGGAAATACGCGAATCTGGTGCTAACATTACTTACGTATTGAAATGGTATAATATTGAATTCAGTGGAAAAGCCTAAGCGAATATCATCAATAGATAAATCAAGATCGACATCGGTTGGATTTTCTGGATCATCCATTAAATTTAATGCAAATCTATCTATATCATCTAACGGAATCAAGAGTTTTTCCAAAGTTTGTTTCAAAATTGACGATAGAAGTGTTTCATTTGTAGTTGAAATCATTATGATTTCATCCTGATAGGTGATTGCACATTTGGTATCAGCAATCGAAATCAATTTAAATTGTAGATCATTGATAGATTCACCGATATCATCTAATGAATATTCTTCATCAACATTCAAATCATCGACAAGAGTTAAACGATATAGTCGTTTGTTTAATTTCCATAATTGACAAACAATTTCATGTACACGACCAATAGACATCGATGATTCACATTGAAATCGTATTGGAGTCTTTTGTTCATCACTAATCACTGTAACATTTGTTGAAAATTTTCGATATGTTAATTGAAATTGAATTGATGATGTTCTAGTAGATAATAATGCATTCAATGGTGTTTCACGTGATGGAACAAAATCATGATCATAGAGAAGATATTGATCTTGATCGATATTATTATTTTGTTTGTAAATATCATCCATAATAGCATCAATAAGATATCGTTGATCATTTTGCGTATTCTCATCATTTATTACTATTAATATATCGTTCGATTGTTCGATGGATATGAGACATGTTTGATGTTCTTTTACTAAGAAAAACTTCGTTTCATTTATCACAGATAATTCTGTATTCTCTGATAAGATCATTTTAGTTTTACAGGATGCTAAATATGTATGAATATCATTGATTTCAATCATGTCTAATAATTGTTTAATTGTTATATTTCGATGAGAAATCGGAATCGACATTTCTTTTTTATCCTCATATAGAATGATTTGAAAAAGAATAGTAATTTGAAAATGAATCGGTTTGTTTGTTGTTGAGACATAATGACTAATTGGATATTCCATATCTAAGTTGCTGAGAATCTGCTTCTTCGTCTCATCTATGACAAGAATCAGACTACAATCTTGAGAAGATAGTTTTATATCTAATTGATTTAAATATTTAGGATTTCTTAGAAGACTATGAACTGGACATGAATTAAGAATATGAATCATTTGACTATTCTTATCATATGATAGAATTATATCAATGATATTTTCTCCACTAAGTACATCAACAATAATAGATTGAGCTTGATCAAGTGTGAAAAATATTGTTTCATCTTCATCAATGATATATTGTTGTTCTATATTCCAAAATCTGTAACTTTCTATTGGAGTTTTTGAATTGATACCGATAATTTTTGTCCATAAACTAATCTGTTTCCATGTTGTTATTGGAGTAAACCATTGACTTTGTGTTTCATCTAAAAACAACAAAAAATAAGATATAAGAATTTTTCACTGATGATTATCTAGATAAAAGAAATACCTTGACCTGTTGTAAGAGTTACTTCACAGCAAATATTAGCATCCTTATTACATCGAAGAACTCGAATCTGAATCGGTGTTTGTTCATTTGAACGATAAATATTTTTGATTTGACAATCGTCAGCAATGTATCGTCCAAATGAATCAAATACACTAAAATAGTTTTCAGATGGTATAAATTTCAATTGTTGATCATGAATAAAACGACTGAGAATCGCAGTCATTGTTGCTTCTGCTGTCGTGAAATATTCCAATTGACTCTTTTCAAATTCTAACACAATTGGAATTAATAATGATTTTTCTATTACACGATATTCTGCTTCTGTACTAGGTAATAAATTATTTATATTTTTTGTCATAAAATCAATGCACACTTGATTTGAATCAATAATAGCAATTGTATTTGGATCGTATTTTTTTTCATCAAAGATCTTTTTTAATTGTCCATAGAGTCTTTCAGGTTTACATAAATACTTGTTTTGTTTTCCATCTAGATATGTAATAATAAAACGTGTGTTGGACACTTTTGTTGCCAATTGTTCTGCTTGTTTTTGACTATTTTCAAATAATGTTGATGGTGTTAATGAAATCAATGTTAACTTTAATTTGGATAGAGATATATAATTGATTGATCGTGACGGAAAATATTCAGATTTCAATATTTCAGTAGGAACATTTGGATTATCGAAAATATCCAACCAATCAATTGAATTTGTAGTAGTAATTGTTGTTTGTGGAGAAGAAGATGATGGAAAGTCTAGTGAAGAAATCGAATTTGACATGATAGACAAAAAATCATCATTCTTATTTCGAAATATTTGAAAACTATTTTCATTCGATTGATTTATATCCGAAATATCAAAACGAACACTCCACAAATCAATAGTTTTTTCTTCAATATCGATTGTTCGTTCTTGTAATTGAGATCGTATATCAATTAGTTTTAAACATAATGGAACATAATTTTCACATTTGATTTCTTTAGGTATTAATTTAACAATCAAATTATCAATTCGTAAATATTCACATATTTCTACAAATGATTGAGTCCATTGACCAGCGAGAAGATCTTCGATATCTTTTAAATCATTTAAAAATTCTGTTATCATTCGTATTTTAGATTGAAATTCTTCTTTTATTGTCTGATCATTAGAAGAAATCAATGAAGATCTGAAAATATGATCGAGTTCATCATTGAGTTTCTTATCAAAAGGTACACGAATTAAATGAGATACATTGATAAATGTATATTGAAAATGATGAATCGATTGTTCATATAATTGACAAATATTTTTAATTTGTGATAAAGAAAAATCTTTGATTCGATATTGTTCAAATTGTTGAACAAATCGATGATCATAATTGATATATCGAACAAATTCTGAAAGTTTCATTGATGAATAATCTTCCGAAGAATTTTTTATTACATCCATAATTCGTTGAAGAAAATTAAATTCATTCTGAAGTTGATCTAAATTCTTTTGTTCTAAATGATTCCATTCATCAATCAATAGACTATTAGAATTCATATCGATATCATTATTCATTTCAAGATCATTTGTAGTAATTGAAACTTTTGGTTGAATATAACATTGATATTTTCCTTTGATATGTTGATAATTAATACGACAATAGAGAAGATATGTTCGAATAAGATATGATTGAACATAAAGAAAATTAAATTTTAATGATGTATCAATTTTGAGAAAATAATTGTTTTCGTTTTCAAGACTAGCTCGAGACAATTGTTCAATCCATTGACAATCTATTTTATTTAATGTAATTACACCCATATTTTCTTGAACGATCTGTAAAATTGATATTTCTCTTTTTGATAATTCACAAATAATCTCTTTCAATGGACCTAAACCAAGAGTATCACCATTGTTTTTGATTTCTGTTTCAAGTAATTCGAGAAGATTATTATGATAATCGACAAGAACACTAAAATGAAAAACAAAACATATAACAAGAAGTTAGTTCCGATAAAAAAAAAGTTTTGGTTCATCGCAATTGAAAATCTACCGCTGTTCGAAGTTAAACAATTCGTTGAATAGGAAACGAATTTCTTGAAACTTACCTCAATATACGCATAATAATATCTCCTTCATCATAGTTATCTGTTTCAACAAGATAGTTTACTGGTGTTTCCATAGAAATGCTTTGAAAATGTTGAGTAGTATTACAAGCACCTGGTTGAATAAGTCCATCAGTAAATTTATGATAAGTATTAACAGCTTCAATTCCATTTTCAATGATTGTATAATAATTATTTTCTTGATTTTTTTGACGAAATCGATTTGAAATTGAATGAGCTCGTTCGTACAATTGTTTCAATGTAATTGTAAGAAATTCTTCTTGTTCAATTAATTGAGTAAAAGTTCGATGTAAAAGAATATGAAATTGACTTAAAGCATAGATATATCGAGTTATTTTTAGAAAATCAAATGAATCAAGTAAACGTCGTAAAATTGTCAAAGATAATTGAGACCATTCTGGATTACATAATTCAGTTTTAAAATGAATAAATTCAATTTGAATAGGCATTTGAGTTGTATATTCATGTAGTTTAATCTGTAATGGAGATTGTGATTGTATTATATTTATTATTTGTTTATAATCGGCTAATTTTTTATGTGTAGAATAAAAAATTTTATTTTGAAATTCTTTTTCAGCTTCAAGTTTTTCATCTATTGTTTTATAAATTGGTTTAATCCATGAATTTTCATCCAGATGACAACTAAATTGAGCAAATAATTCAAAACAACGATTGAATAAAAGACAAGCATCATCTTGATTGAATTGAATTGAGAGAAAATGATATGTCGATAACAATCGTGCACGAACGAAATGACATACTTTTGCTCGAACACTATTACCAGCCATATGTTCTGTTACTGCTGTAGAATCAATCGTATGTTTAGCAAGAATAGGATTATAGAGATTTTCTACAGATGAATCAAATAATAATAAATGCCAAGCCTAGATGATTGAAAGACAAAAATTCGCATCTATAAAACAGATGGAATCCTTAACTAGACTCACCATAGCACCAAAAGTAGCAAAATAAGCAATGTAAGCAGCTGGAACACTGAGTGCGCTTCCTGTAGAAAAAGGTACTAATGCTCCTGTTTCAGATATTACACATCCACAGTCATAATGAACGCCATCACTTTGTATAGGGTCATATGCAGTCGATCCAAAACCTATCATAGAATATATGATATGAATACATCGATATTTTAATATGCATGAGAAGATAATCTGAAGTCTGATGTTTTATAAACGAAAATATTGGTGTAAATTATGTCTTAAGCTACATCCTAGCGTAGCCTTTCCATTACAACTCCAACATATCTTGAAAATTTCACTCAATTTTTGAGAAGAAGGACGGTTTAATCAAAACTTACCAAATGTTTCTAGTAGTCTTAATGGTTCAAATACAAATGTCCAAAGAGTATTTTCTTTTCCACCAAGTAAAATCATTGCTAAAAGGTTAACAAGTAT